GCGAAACTGGAAAATACGGACCGGATTAAAAAAAAAAAAACTGGATCGGCATTTTTACATTCTTTGCCGATACGCATTCTTTTGCCAATATCGGCGTCCCGATCCGATCCACGTATCGGATCGGGACAAGCCTACCAGAGATGCTGATTATTTTAAAGTAAAATCCATCCTTCTGTCTTTGTGCAGGAAGTCTTTGCTTTTTCAATTAGTATCAGCCATTGAAGCCAGGAAAGCCTTTAACAAAGGTCATTTAAAAAGCAGACTGTTGTTAGCTTAACTTGGCTGTAAACATTTTGCTCTCACTGACCAATCAAAGGACAGAAAATGCTGACCGGTAGAGGTGGACCCGCTAGATGGCCCAGTGGGGCAAATCTGAAATCTGATTGGTTGAAGAAAACAAGTAAGCTTAGCCAGCACTGCTGACTCTGGAGGCTATGGGCAGGTTTGAAGGACAAAGCAACGAACAAAAGCTGGAATCTGATTGGACAAAAAATATAGCAGCCACGTCAATGTAATGGAAGCAGCGCGGCCAAGAGAAAAGCTACAAAATTAGCAGAATGGATTGTTTGGAATCAATTCATAGAGTTGGATAGAAGAAATTAAAGTTGGTGTGATTGATTTTAGGCCAGCCTTGAAGGCCCTCACAGCCCACTACTGACCCACCACTAATTTCTGGACATGTTTAACCCTCGAATAATAAACCATTAAAGAATGACTAATACAGGGTTTCCGCGGGTCATTAAAAAAGTCATTTAATTATTATTTTTTAAATGAAGGCCTTAATTGGCATTAAAATTCATTAAATGTATTTTTGTGGCATTTAAAATGCTTTATTAAAAAGAAATGTTTATAAAAACAATTTTGTCAGACATATTATATCACGATATATTTGTGCGGAACTGCTTCCGGTTGATCGCAAAGCTGTATGTTCAGAAAAGAAGCTTGAGTCAGAGAAAAAGCTAGAGAATGGGGCGAAAAAAGCAAATTTCAACAAAAGTGGTTGGAAAACGAGGAATTCGGGACATGGCTGTAGCCTGTCGACGTGTAGCTGTTGGTGGCATTAAAATTATTTCTAAGAGCATTAAAAGAGCAATAAAAAGCATTAAATTTGAGTTATTCATTCCTGTATAAACCCTGTAATCTGACTGTCATGTTGGTGAGTGGATGTAAATGTCAGCTGTATGTAACAGTCAAACACATATAAAATGAATCCAACTCTTCATTCTAGGAAACAAAATGCACCTCTACCTAAAATTAATTGCTACAAATGATAACAAGTAATTCAATAAAGTTCGCCCAACTTCATTTCTTCAATTTGGAAATGTATATATTAAGTCTCATCATCTTGATTCAGTTACTTGTTACAAAATGAAGCAATTTATTTATTTAAGTTGGAGCTTGTTTCTCTGTCTATAGTTTGAAGATTAAACCAAAACCTGACCAAGTCTGATAGACTAATAGGAGTCAATAACATCTCAGCAGCTCATGGATGAACCTAAAGTTGGAAAAGCAATTAGCCTGGAAGTGACACAACATTTTTATCTCTTCTACACCTCCTCCTCCTCACTGAGAACTTTACTGGAAATGACGTAGTTCACAGCCTGGTCTTTTGGCAGTAGAAGTTCCCATGAGGCTGAATGAGTTCATCAAGAGTCATGAAGCCTCTGAAAAGCAGCTAAGAGGTCATCTGTAATAACAATAACCAACTGATGAGGTTTAATCTACCTTAATGATCTAAAATGCACCATTATCAGGGTGTTATTCAGCATTCCTTTGGGTTTAACGTTCACTCATTCAGCTCAGACTCTCAAGCAGACCAGAATCTCTTTATTTCCTTCTTACTGCACATTTTAGAAAAGAAACCAAAACACGCTGGCTTTTTTCAGCTTTACATGGACACCAGAGCTGCAGTGCATTTAAGTAATTTACAACAAAAAAGAAAAAAACATAGAAGTTACTAGAAAAATGCACACAGACGTCATTAATTTATCCAGCAGCAAAGTGTTATTAAATATCAAGTGTGGTGAAGCAGCTTGGTCAGAGTCTTTTCGGCGAAGTTTTCCCTTCCTGTGTAATTATTAGCTCTGCTGCGAACTACAAAGATCCGTCTCTATAGAGAGGAACGTTTATGGTGATGTTATGTTGGGATTTATCTCAGATTCATTTCCAGTAGTGACAGTTCATCTTGATTTTTCTCTCTGATTCCAGACCAAGAACGCCTGGAAGTTTCCTGGCGGCTTGTCTGATCCAGGAGAGAATATAGGTGAGTGCCACAGTCAGCAGAGAAAGTTAAAATACTACAGTACAGCTAACTAAATCCCTTTAAAAATAACCTATACATTCAATTAACCTGTACAAATAAAGGCACATGATATAGATCTTCATTCTCCCACTGGAGCCCCTGTAATATTTTAAAAGCAGCGTTGAAATTATTTACATGATTCCACCTGAAAAGCAGCATCAAACTGTTTTTTTTACAAAAAGGTTGTTTAAAATACAGACTGGAAGCAGAATAAACATATTTATAATTGTCAGGGTCCTGTAAATGTTTTCCCTCGTTTTAGTTCTGTGCAGATGTCTTTATTTTACCGCTAATTTCTTCAGATTTTGCTTCCAAACGGTTCTGGTTCCTGGAGTAAATTGAAGTGGTCCATATTACTAACGTAGATTATTCGTTTTTCCTTTGACTTTGGGCGCTTTCATGAACATCACAGCAACCAGAGTGTTTGGAGGTTAGCTACAAAAATTATGGAGCCAGAACTACCAGATATCCAATACTATTTGAGACATGATCAATTCTAAAAAGAAAAAAGGGATTAAATTAAAATGAACGCTAAGTGAGATCAAAAGCAGGATTCCACGAAGCTAAAAATTATAGGTTGAATCTAAGATAATTGGACATTTCAGAGATTTTTTTATAACAAACAGTCATTTAGATTTGCCCTGGCAGATTTTCACCTTGGTTTTGTGACAGTGAAAATACAGTGAATGTATTTCCATCAATTAGTCATCCAGCGAAGGCTCCTCTTACATCAGTTCCTGCCCCTTTAAAGAAAACAATAAACATCAACACTGAAGCTGGTGTCTGATTCAGCTCCTAACCTCTGGTTGTCCAGTTAGCACCAGCTATTTATTCATAGGTTACAATTCGTGTGTTAACTTCAGCTTTCAAGAAACAGATTTTCTAACAATTTTAGTGAAACTAACTGAAGGAAAATGTTAAAATGGTTTCAATTATCGGTATGACAGTTTGCAGGAAAAACTTTGAGGTTAAAGAAAAACAACCTTAGAGTGATTTTAGTTCAAGATTGTGATTGATCTTGGAATGGGAACGATCTTTTTTAAGCTGTATGGACTTAAAGAGACAGTAGGTTCAGATTTTCATGACTCCACTCTAAATATATTAAGGATATACCGCGTTTTACTACATTTAACATGAAATATATAAAGGCTGTTGTTGACCTTCAGTAACTGAGTAAAAAGAGACCAAAATCTAAGGGAAAAGACTTTTACAACTTTTAAGAACAAATGATGAAGACTGTTTAGAAATTGCAGTAAAGTTGGACTCATAGGAAGCAAAGTCTAAAGAAATATGTGGTTTTTTAAGACGTTTGCACAGAGACGGATATCTGTACCGAATCTCCCCCAGGTGCCACGGCTGTCCGTGAAGTGTTCGAAGAGACGGGCGTGCGCTCAGAGTTCAGATCCCTGCTCAGCATCCGGCAGCAGCACCAGCACCCCGGCGCCTTCGGCATGTCGGACATGTACATCATCTGCCGGCTGAGCCCGATCACCTACGACATCAACTTCTGCACCCACGAGTGTCTGCGCTGCGAGTGGCTGAACGTGAGCGAGCTGGCCGAGACCAGCAGCACCACGCCCATCACCTCCCGCATCGCCCGGCTGCTGCTGCACGGTTTGGAGCACGGCTTTGACAAGATCGACCTCACCATGGAGGAGCTGCCCGCCGTTTACTCTGGGATGTTTTATCAGCTGTACCACAGACAGCTCCCTGTTCATTCATAGAGCTCAGTTAGTGTTTTATGGTCCAGTATTGATCCCATTTAGAGACCGGACCGTTAAAACATGTGTTCATACTGGAGGTTCTTAGTGTCTCAGGATAAGTTTTCCTTCCATGGCTGATATAAAATGCATTATTTATCACACACCCCCTTTTTGATTTGATACTTGCCTTTTTAAAGTCTAAATCAGTTTAACTGAGTCTGATTTTGCACTAATCTATCTTACAGAGATAATAGAAAGCTTTAAAAGCTCATTTTTATCTATCAAACATTATGGAAATGTTCCTGCAACATTAAATATAGATTTTACTGCGTTTGCCTCTAGTTACTTTACGACACCTTGCTGTAGAGTAGTCCTGGAGTTATACTTTTAAATATGTGGCACTGTTTGAAGGTAAAGTTGAATAATATTCAATATGTTCAGGAGAAAAGAGTCAAATCGTCACAGCTCTTTTAGGCAATGTCAATGCATCACAGGTCATTGCCTTCACAAAGACGCCTCTGTCTCTGTTGCTCCGATTCCTGGCTTAGCGCTTTGCTGACATCGGCAGAAAGAGAATGGCCTTCTGACCCGGTCCGGTTTTGTTTCCGGACTTGTACTGGCCGGTCCTCTTCAGCGCCACGTACATGCTGGGGTACTTCCTGGAGCGGTAGGTGTTGTAGTTGTTGCTCTCGAGCCTTTCTAGGAAGTAGGACTCGTCTGTTGGTCGTCTCTAGAGGAAAAGGCACAGGACATTTTTCACATTGGTAAAGTTTAACAGCAATTTCTTTTTTCCTTTGTTGCCAAAAAGAAAAAAGAAATATTCAATAAAGCTGTTTCAGTCTGAGAGGAAAAAAGTCAATAAAGAGCAAAAAAAATACGAAATGGTAAAATAGTAACTTGAGAACTGAGTAATTGTTGGGTCATAAGATTTGTTTTATTGCTTAAAAAGATGTAATCTGACAGACAGAGTTGTGCAGATTCTGGCATCTCAAATTATGAAACAAAGTATAAATAAATAACATTAATCCAAAATGAAACATTTATTCAGAATAAAATCGTTTCCACATCATTTTTTCATAGTAAGCTTAAATAAAATCTTGAATACATAATGTTAGTTAATATGTTACTTTGTCTACTTAAGTTACTGGTACGGGGTAGAGTAACCAAAAAATGTACTCAAGTAAAAGTAGCGATAATCTAAAAAGAATATTACTTAACTAAAAAGTAAAGCTACTCTTAAGAGTATTTTTTTTTTTTAAGAGTAGAGGTTTTCTAAATTACCCACATCTGATCAAGAGTAGCAATGCTTAAAAGAAATATATAAGGCAGCCATCAGGAAACAAAAAAAGCAAAATCAGAGAGAAAGATCATATCACTTTTGATTTGAAAAAGACAGACGAAACACAAAGCTGTGTGCAAATGCTGCTAATTCACAGGCTGCAGCAAAAATAAAGATGGAAAATTACAAAATAAATTCTATTTTGATTTCCATATGCAACTATTTTGCATTATAAAACCCTCAGAAGCAATGCTTAAAGTAGGTCATCTAGATATGACAGAACATACCTAGGTCTTCCCAGTGGTATTTAATCATTTTAGTCAATGACTTTCAAAAAGCACAGCAGGTGTGGAGTGAGGCCAATAAAAGAAAAAAAAAACTCATGGAATAAAATGTGGTCCTGAAACCTGAAAGATCTGGACATCTGATATCTGATATCTGTTACTGCAAATAAAGGTTTCTTTTCTTTGTTTTGTTTTTAATGTATCAAACACTGAAGTTATGCAATAAAGTGCTAATTAATTACTTAAAAATCACACAATGATTGTGATTTTTTTTTTTTTTATTGTAGATTCTGTCACTCATAATCAAAATGAAATATTTCTACATTTACGAAAACATGCAAAATCAGCAGGGTAGCAAACACTTCTTTAGGGCTGCAATTAAAGGTTATTTTGCAAATCAATTAATCTATTGGATATTTTTTCGATTATTTACTATTATTTGGATAGCCAAAGGTTCCTCAAAGATAACTTTTTAGGAAATTAAACCAGGTGAAACAAACCTTTTTACTTAAGGAGTTCTGGATAGAGCATATTGACAGATGAAAAAGATTTTATCATGAATGCAAAATGTTTACATATTTCTTTCCCTTTTTTGTATCATTGCTGCTCTAAGTGGGTTGCTCTGTCAGCTAAACGCATGTTTTAGAGTCTCTACACTCCAGTTAAAGATTAATTAATTTCTAAATTAGTTGACAATTATTTCAATAATTGATTAATGACAATTAATCCGACAAATTTTAACAGCCCTACACTAGTTCTCCAGACTGTGAGTTTAAATACATGTGTTGAGTTTTAGTTTCCACACCAAAGACTGTTTCAAATGTTTGTTGCTATAGTAACCCTAAAGTATGATCTATTCTCCTTAAAGCCACATTACCTTCTTATATTATGAAGATTTCACGTTAAGCTGTTTCTAATTGCTAAATCCTGTTAATACGTAGGTTCCTTTACATACTGAGCATGTTAAGGTGTATATGGTCAACCAGTTAGCCTCTGGTGCTTTCAGTGTTACCTTCACTTTTAACAATATAGACAGGGTCAGATGTTAGAGGTAAAGGGATTTTTTTTTTCTTAATTCAAATCATTTAAATAAGACAAAATTCATGCAGTTATTTCTTTTCAGATTGACACAAATTACAGCCGAGTACAGAGCCAACTTAGGGGGCAGCCTCTCATTAGGAGGAGAAAATGCTGGCTGCTAATGGTGGACAAAAAGCCTGTTAAACTCTTGAACTTTGTGAAAAACAGAATTTCAAAGTCACAATTTTACTGCAAGAGAAGCAAATTAAATGGAGCATCAGAAAAAGAAGCACAAAAGTTCTCATTATTATCTGTGCATCATGTCTATTCAATATTTAGCAGGATCTCGGGTCCGTTGTCTGAATGAGACAAGTTCAGAAACAAGAGAATTACAGCCCATAATACTGTGAGGTTAAACATCTAAAAGGCCCTGAACAACCAAGGTCCTTTTTAAATATTTCACCTCAACATGAAAACCTTTAATAACTCAAATAGTTATAAAACATCCTTTATTTTTTTCACACATTAGGTTTCATTTGTTTGCATTTTACTTGTATCTATGTCACTATCAGCCATCAGCACTCTGTTTTGACATTTGCATTCTCCACATCAAGCAGTTCCCCTACATAACACCACAGCAGCTGTCACCTTAACCTAAAACGAACCTCAGATCACACTGATAATTACTACCCTCACTTTTCAGATCGCCTGCCAGATGCTTCAGAAACTGCTTCTAACTTTATCACTCCACTCCTTATAGTGGCTTTAGGTTTGAAATGTGTCAGCTTCTTTACACAGTACAAAAAGTACCATCTATAACCAGTATCTATGAGTATGCAAAGATAACACTGCGCTATTATAAATTACGAGAAAGGAAAAAAGCCATCTAAATCATCCCTGATGATGTGCAGGTAAATAAATAAAAAACTGTATCTTCAAAAATTAGAATATTACACCAGATCAATAGAAAACCTAATCCTTGGCTGGGACTTATTGTGTGAGTTACTGCATTAATGCGGCGTAGCATGGAAGCAATCAGCCTGTGGTTCTGCTGAGGCGTCATAGAAGCCCAGATTGCTTTGATTACGGCCATCAGATCCTTTTGTTGGGTCCTCCCTTACGCTAATCTAATAACAGCCACTATAAAAGTTTTAACTTTTTGTTCCTGGGATGTTCCTGAAAACCGTTAGCAGAATGATTAGCTCCCGTCTTATTGGGTCCTAATGATGGTGAGTCAGCTGAGAACATTCACCAGAGGTAGCACCATGTTCTCTGCATTTAAAGTATTAGCGTGAGACATAGACCAAGAGCAGCTTGGATGAATTTATTTTAGCACCTGAGGTCAGTGAGAGTTTTTAGTCAGGCAAAATAATACAGCTGTATCCATTCAGTCTGTTTAGTTGGAGAAATGGAGGAGAATGAGACACGGTGGCAGTGGTTGACAAGTAAATCTGCATCTGAGGAGGCGAATTCGCTCTTCACTTTCATCCTTTTAAAAACAATTAGATAATTTTTTTTCTTATATTCCCATCTGATCTGCTTGGAAAGGCAATCTGACCTAAATCTCATGCCACCTACTTGATGCCTTGTGTGATTACATTTTTGTCCTTTGTGACTACGATTTAATGAGACGAGACTAAATAACAGAAGACAATTTGTTTAGGCTTGGAATTTTATTAAAAAAAACAAAGAGGACATTTGCAAAGAGAAAGTCACTCACCGCACCAAACAGCCGTCCATCTCTGTTCATCGCCAGATAACGGTTTGCACAAATTCCTTTGATGACGACCTCCCCCACCGAGGTCGCCTGCAGCTGAAGCTTAACTGTGGATGAAGATGAAAGTATATTTAAACTGTGTAAACAGAAAACATTTTTTCTTTAATGGTGGAATGTCTAAACAAAGAGAGAATGAGTGATTCCATTTAAAATATAAAGGGTGCATCCTCAGAGTAAATGTTGCCTGGTGAATGGCGTTCTCTTGGAGCTTCGACTTCTTTAAGATTATCCACAGACTTGTCAGTTGCTAGAAAGGCAAATTAAATGGCGGCTGAATAATATTTGAGGAATCACAGCAACAAACATGAATGTGGAGTCCAAAAGAAACCCCCGAAACTATAATCCGTTCACAGCAAGGTAAGGATGGAGATTCCCTTTGGTGGGATTCAGTGACATCTAGTGGTGTAGCAACAGATCACAGCCAAATGCATTCTGACGTTGCTTTTAAAACGTTTCACATGTCAGCAGAAAATGTTTGCCTTGTCTGCAGATCTGTTTTGTAAAATGACGGTCATCGCACTGCACGATTTCTTCTTTTAGAATCTTAAAATAAATCTATGTATAAATAAACCGAAATTTAACCTTAAAGGTGTTTGATAAAATCACTGGTGTCCCATTGTTAGATCCTAGAATTTTATGTCAAGTAGAATAAATGAATAAATTACATTTCTAGAAATTCTTAATTGTAATTCATGACTCTTAGATTTTCTGGGGTATAAATTTGTTGTGACAAAGGCTGATTTTCGTTAACTGCTCCCTTAAACAGGTAAGTCAAGATAAAAAAGGGTGATGCATGTTGATCTTTATCAGTCAGGAAATGGCTGCATAAAAATAGATTCTTGTTTAACTAGCCCGTAATTGCAGTCACAGTAATAATTAACAAGTTCAAACCAACTGGAACAACGGTTCAAACAAAGCTGAGCGAGGAGACTTATTTTATTTGGCAGGATAAAAAAAAGTGTTACAGTGCAACAGCAAACAGAATTCTCTGGGTCCCCAGAGCAGGATGCATTAACATGGCGTCTCACTGTTAAGTAGGTATCAGAGAAAAACGGGATATTTACCTGTTTAGCATGTATAGATTTCTAACAGCCAAGATTCTAAACAGATGCAGTTTGCCTAATCCTACCTAGATTTATACTTTGACCTTTGATCAGGCGGAAGAATTTGGCAACAAACACCTCATCCCACTTCTCACTCTTAGGTATGGTGAAAGATCTGTAATGCTGTGGTCCTGTTTCTTCTGTAAAGGCTGTAGGACCCTACAGTATGGAGGACCAATCCTGCCATAATTAAAAATAAATACATAAATAAATGAATGTTCCAAAAATAAACATTGGAGCTCATTAGAGTAAATGTTCAGGGGAACAAATATAAGAATATGATGCACTCTGCCAGAAAACCAAACATTAGTCCTCATCAGGTCTACTGGTAGGATATCGGTCCAAAAACATATGGCCGAACAAAATGGTTCACCAGACACAAAAATCCACCATCTTCAGCGGTCATTTCACACTGAAAATGATCTAAAAATGAGTAAAAATGTCTTAGATTAAGTGTATTTACTCTTAATTTCAGCAGGTAAATAAGATGATTTGCCAATGGAATTGGTATTTTTACTCTTAAAATAAGATAATTAGATAAATTATGCACTTAAAATAGGACAATACAATTGTTTTCTTCTTATTTTTAATGTAAATCGTCTTGTTCCATTGGTAAAGTGGTAAAATCCTTAAATCAAGAAAAAATTTGCTCATTTTAAGAAAAAGGTTACTAATTTAGATAAAAAAATTTTTTGCAGTGCAGTTCTTCATCCCAATTATGGGAGGTGAGCTAAATACGATATGAGGGACAACATAGGACGATCAGAGAGGCTATGTGAGAAAGAATGGCCAATGATTCAGCCAATGATAGGTAGAGGAGAAGACTATGTACTGTCCTATTAGCAAAGAGCACAAAGTATTAACCCATCTGTACTTGTGGTGACTTTGTTAGAGGCAGTTGAATCAATCAGTGTATGTTTCTTCAACAGCTGAGAGAAGCTTTAACAGTTTCCTCTGTGTTCTGACTAACACTGGGTTACGTTTCATATGCAGTAAGTAAATACATCACATCTAAGGAAATTGGTATCATATCCGTCCCAAAGCATCACCCTTATATGGCACACTGAGCCTGGAGGCCGTGTGGGCAGCGTACTCAAGACTTCAGGGAAACCATCTCCAACTCCTTTGTTTGTTTTGATAGATTCTCCTCGTTTCAACAGCAGAACTCGGATGTATCAAGCCGAGCAGCAAAAAAAGGAAGCAGGGGCCTTGTTAGATAAATTACAGGATCAAACCACATCAAGCCTTTTATTGGGCGCGCTGCAGTTAGGGCAGATGGTCGGATGTTTCTGGTCACAGATCAAAGAGGTGAGCTTCTTTAAAGTAAAACTGCCCTGAGTGAGCTGCTTTGGTCTGGTTTTCACAACTTATGTCCTAAAGGAGAACAGATACCAACCTCCAAACTATACGTTTTATAACTGAAATAAAGATAATAGTCCACAGTTACGTCCTTCTGAAGGAGTTTTAGGATGAGGAGTGGGGTTTCCTCTCAAACACATTTTCTTTCTTCACCTGGCAGGTCTGCATAGGTTTAACAAAAGCTGCATTGTTGCAGCATAGTCAGGTCACAGCCGACTATGTGGGTAAAAAGCTCAATAATTAACATGATTTTCGCTAAATAAAGTATTATTCTTTTTATAAAACAGTAACAGTGTCTGCATGGCTGGCAAATAGCAATAACAAAAGTACTTCAGGATATTTTTTGAGTTCCAGTGAAGTATGTGGTATGTTTCACATGGTGGACAGGTTGCCCTTTATCTTCAGCAGCTCTGCCATGCATGTGTTTTCCCAGGAGGGAGAAAAAGTCTAATTCCACATCCTTCCCACTCCCTCCTAGTCGCTGATGAAACTCCAGGACACACTTTGAGGTTAATCAGCGACTTCCAGAGGCCCTCAGGGGCACAATCATTATTCTCTCAAAACAAGCAAGCCTGTGTGTTTACATCACCACTCCAAAAGACTGAGCTGAGTTTTAAAATAAAGCATTTCTTGTGAATCGTTAATAATGCTGATGACTCTGAGAGGGAAGATCTTAATCTGCTGTCCTGTGTGACGTAAAGACTGTGACTCAGCAGGGTGAAAACAAGGCCTAAAAACATCATACATTCATTTTCTCCATCACTTCAGAAATCTGAAGGAAACTTTTACAGAACTGGAGTTTTAAACGTCTCTTAGGGTTCTCTGAACAAAGTAATGGATTGATAACTAACCTTGATACACCTCCGCCTTTTATTTCTATTGCATACCTAAAAAATAAGCTGTGTATAATATCCATACAGGAATGAGACGGGAAATACTTACTGTGGGGGTCGTTTTTCTCCCGGATTCCATCCACACCCCCGTCGGGTTTAATCCTCAGGAAATAGCCCCCATTTTTACAGTACAGCCTCTTGGGGTCCTTGAAGTTCCCAGGAGGAAAGCCGGTGCTGCTGCTGTCTTCAGGTACGGCGGGAAGTGCTGTGATTCCTCCCGTCGCCATCTCCTCCTTTTCCACTGCTTCTTGACAACTGCTTCGTCTCCTTCTTGAGAAGTGCAGGAGCCCTGCCGTGGCCTCCCACCTCCCACAAACTTCCCCCTCCTCCCCTTCTCTCTACACACAAACTGATTCCACTTAACCTTAGAGGTCAGTGTTCCTGAGTAGCCCCCCCACCCCACACACACCCCTCTCAGGGCAGAGAGTGACCTTTAAGGCCTGGAAGTCTTGAGTAAAGCAAATCCTGCAAAGATCAGTTTGTTTCTCATGCTAGGACCGTCTGATCTGCTCTCCGCTGTGCATCCAGAAGGGTTTACATGCAGCTCTCTCCAGCTTTTTGCTCTTCTTGCAGTTGAAGCAGGGCAGCTGGCTTAGATCTCTGAAGAAGGCTTTCCCTTCTGGGCCTCAGTTCGCATGCGCCCTAGGAGCAGCCACACACACACACACCATGCTCACGCCCACTAATCCTCGCCAATTTAACCAGCCAACCCGGCAAAGGTTGGGGAAGGGGGACGGGCAGCTTGGGATCTGTCACTGAGGCCTTCTAGAGAACTGAAACCAGAACCACAAGCAGCAGTATGTGAACAGAACCTCTGTTTTCATCCATTCAATCTAACAGCAGGAAAAGGAGCATAGAAAAACCAGTCCCATCCAGGATGCCAATGTTATTCTCTCTGCATAAGTTACCCCTTTTTACAAAAAACTTCATGATTTTCAATAAAACTCTTAAGCATGAGTGGATTTTTTTAAATATTTAAAGCTAGTCAAACAAAATGACACAAAGTATCTGTTTAATAATTGAGCTCAGGAAAAGAAATTGGTTTATTTTATTATATATTAGTCACAACCAAGTTTGAAATTTTCCAGATTCAGACCTCTACAGTTTTTGATCCTTTTGGGATATTTCATTCATTCATTCATTCATTCATTCATTCATTCATTCATTCATTCATCACGCTTATCCCAAGCGGGGCAGCAAGTGGGTCTGGTGCCTATCTCCAGCTGTCTACGGGTAAGAGGCGGGGTACACCCTGGACAGGATGCCAGTCCATCGCTGGGCAACACAAAGACAAACAGGACAAACAACCATTCACACACACACTGACACCTAAGGAGAATTTAGAGAAGCCAATTCACCTAACAGTCATGTTTTTGGATTGTGGGAGGAAGCTGGAGTACCCAGAGAGAACCCACGCATGCTCAGGGAGAACATGCAAACTCCATGCAGAAAGACCCTGGGCCGGGAATCAAACCCAGAACCTTCTTGCTGTAAGGCAGCAGTGCTACCCACTGCGCCTGGGTCATTTCAATTCTTCACATTTAACATTTACTACAAATATATGATTTACTGGATTTCAAATATCACAGAATAGATAAATAAATAAATGCATGATGGCTTAAATTACAAATTGAGGATAGGCAGATTGATCAGATGATTAAACGAGGAGCAGAACAGAAAATGCTTGGATGGGAAAGTGATATAATGACACATGGTGGACAAACTGCTGAAAGACACAACCGATTAGGTTTGGAGGTATAAATGTTTTTTACACTTGGTTGTTTTTTTGTTTTTGTTTTTTTTTTAGGAGTCCTGTTGTAAACTGATGCTTGTCAAAGGAAATATTTATCATTTTGTCAGGTCAGTTAACATTCAGATGTACGTTAAACTGTGCTCATGCTGGTAGAATGGTCTGCGAAAACATTTATCTAAAAATCCATTTAAAACAATAAAGTGGAAATAAATAAGTACCGCCAAATCTAGACTCTTTCTCTGCTCAGATTATAAGCCACTTTATAAGAGACAGCCTGCATTAAAAAGAACTGTANTTTTCATTGAGGATTTATGTGTGATTTTTTTTGCCAACACATTCAACTTTGTACAAAACCAATTATTCAATGAGGATATTTCATTCATTCATTCATTCATTCATTCATTCATTCATTCATTCATTCATCACGCTTATCCCAAGCGGGGCCGCAAGTGGGTATGGTGCCTATCTCCAGCTGTCTACGGGTGAGAGGCGGGGTACACCCTGGACAGGATGCCAGTCCATCGCTGGGCAACACAAAGACAAACAGGACAAACAACCATTCACACACACACTCACACCTAAGGAGAATTTAGAGAAGCCAATTAACCTAACAGTCATGTTTTTGGATTGTGGGAGGAAGCTGGAGTACCCAGAGAGAACCCACGCATGCTCAGGGAGAACATGCAAACTCCATGCAGAAAGACCCTGGGCCGGGAATCAAACCCAGAACCTTCTTGCTGTAAGGCAGCAGTGCTACCCATTGCGCCTGGGTCATTTCAATTCTTCACATTTAACATTTACTACAAATATATGATTTACTGGATTTCAAATATCACAGAATAGATAAATAAATAAATGCATGATGGATTAAATTACAAATTGAGGATAGGCAGATTGATCAGATGATTAAACGAGGAGCAGAACAGAAAATGCTTGGATGGGAAAGTGATATAATGACACATGGTGGACAAACTGCTGAAAGACACAACCGATTAGGTTTGGAGGTATAAATGTTTTTTACACTTGGTTGTTTTTTTGTTTTTGTTTTTTTTTTAGGAGTCCTGTTGTAAACTGATGCTTGTCAAAGGAAATATTTATCATTTTGTCAGGTCAGTTAACATTCAGATGTACGTTAAACTGTGCTTATTCTGGTAGAATGGTCTGCAAAAATATTTATCTAAAAATGCATTTAAAACAATAAAGTAGAAATAAATAAGTACCGCCAAATCTAGACTCTTTCTCTGCTCAGATTATAAGCCACTTTATAAGAGACAGCCTGCATTAAAAAGAACTGTACGAAGATGGTCACAGGAAGCTGAGGAAGCCCTGCAAGGTTGTTTTGAGGCTACAGACTGGGATGCACTGTGTCGACCACATGGACAAGACATCAATGCAATATATGTGTGACTGATTACATAAACTTAACTTCTTTGTAGATAACAACATCCCTACCAGAACAGTGAAATGCTTCCCAAATACACCATGGATCACAAGTGAACTAAAGCTGCTTAAAAAAAAAAAAAAAAAAAGCATTTAACAAGCATTCTTTCTATCTCTAGAAGTGGCATGAAGAGGCAACTGGAGAGACTGAATCATAATGAGTCACAAGGTCCTGATGGTGTCAGCCCCAGAGTCCTGAAGGCCTGTGCAGAGTAGCTCTGTGGGATTCTGCAGCATCCCTTAGTCTGACCCCGTACCAAAGAAAACTCAGCCTTAGTGACTATACACCTCTTGCCCTGACATCCCACATCATGACGGTCCTAGAGAGACTTCTGATGGTTCATCTCAGCAAGCAAACAAGCAGCTATCAGGAACCCCTGCAGTTTGTTTATCGCTATGGAGTTGGAGTTGATGATGCCACCATACACCCGCTTCAACAAACCCACTGTTATTTAGACAAGGCAGACAGCACTGTGAGGATCATGTTCTTTGATTCCTCCATTACATTTAACACGATTCAGCATTACTTACTTTGTGAGAAACTTCAGAAGACTCAGGTGGACGTGTCAACAATCACCTGGATCAAAGACTACATGTCTAATGGACCACTGTTAGACTGAAAGGTCAGCTGCCTAATCAAGTAGTCAGGAGCACCACAGAGGACAGTACTCTCACCATTCCTTTTTACTCTGTACACGTCTGACTTCCAGAGCCACACTGAATCCTTTAATCTGCAGAAATAGTCAGATGACTGCAGTCATTGAGTGACTGGTGAACCGCTTTGTGGAATGGTGTGGAAACATTCATCTGATCCTGAATGCCAACAAAACAAGGGAGATGATTGTAGATTTCAGCAGAAACAGGAACAAGTTGAAACCTATTTACTTCTTGGGAGAAGGAGTGGAGGTGGTTGAGGAGTATAAATACCTCGGTGTTCCCTTGGACAACCAAATAGACTGCAGACACAACTGTGAAGCCGTCTACAAGAAGGGAAAGAGCAGATAGTCCCTCCTAAGGAAACTTAGGTCCTCCTGCGTTTTCCAATAAGATGCTGCATCTCTTCTATAGGTCTGTAATGGCGAGTGTGATCTCCTCTTCCATCATCGGCTGAGGTAACAGTATTAGAGCTAAAAAAAGAAAAGAAAACTTCACCTAATAAAGACGGAACTGGATCTGCTCCTGATCCAGTGCATAACAGACCGATACAGAAACTCCTTCCTGCCTACAGCTATCAACACCTACAACAACTGTTTAAAAAAATAACAGATTCAATTCAATTCAGTTTATTTATATAGCGCCAACTCACAACACATGTCATCTCAAGGCACTTTACAGTCCAACCAGACCGTACAGTCAGATTCATTCAAAGTTTTAGATCTAAGGAAAACCAGTTGATGTCTTCCTCTGGCTCCCATTGTTCGGCTGGCCTCTCATGGATTCTGGCAGTAAAAGGGAACAAATCATCGGTGTGGTTCATGCTGCTCTTACTTCCTGGTGGTAGTGGCATCTCTCTCTGCACTATAGCTGTTTTTTGTCAGAAAGTCTAAATTAAGGTGTGACCGTAGGTGAAACACCCCTGTGCTGCTCTCCTCCTCTTCCTCCTGCTATGAGTGTGTGTGGCATGGCAGGTAAGGAATTACCACTCATTGTAAGCTCAATGTTGTTGCAGTTTTGAAACAGTGATTTTCCATATTTCTCTCCATATTTGGACCATTGCTGCTCTTTTATCTACCAGATTTCTCCACGCCTATGATTCAAAGCAAGACTGTGGTGGCAGTCACAACCCCAATTAAAAGTGGTGTTTTGGGCACAGCATCTGCCTCTTCTGTGTGCCGTGATTCCTGAGTTTGGGTTGTCTCACTGCGTTTGGTGTTTTAAAGGTTTTTTGTTAGGTTTAGGATTAGTGGACGCCGTCCCTACAGTGGCCCCTTCTGTTGGTAACCTCAGCTATTGTAGTTTTTTTTTTTTTTTATTATAAAGAATTGGTTTTAAAGGGTATTTTAAAAAGAATTTAATAAAAAGCTCTGTGTAAATTTGAAACTGTCTCAGATGTCTCAATCCCTGCATAACTGAACCTGTGTGCCTTAAAAACAGGGTAATATTCCTTGGGTGAAATTCCCAGGGTGGCTTTGTTGAGCATTTCTTTGGTTTTAAAAAATTTTCATTGCACACAATTTCTGAGTTTCCCAAAATGCCGCCACAAGTCATTGACTCAAATGCAATCCCTCACACTAAGCATGCTTGTAGCGACAGTGGAGAGGAAGAATTCCATTTTAACAGGAAGAAACCTCCAGCGGCCATCTGCCGAGACCGACTGAGGTTCAAGGAGACAGAAGCAGACATAGAAAAAGAAGCATAGATACAAAAAGAACTTGTAAAATGCGGCCCCGTCCAGGAAACGCACAGCCAGGCAGACGAGCTCCGAGCCAACTCAAATCTCAGAGGATGAAGAGAGCACAGAATGAGGATTAAAGGGGATTTAAGAGACTTTTAAGGTGGCGTGGTTGTTGGTGCCGGGTAGATGTATTTCAGAAACTGACGCTCTACTGGGATTCTTTCATCCACGACAATCTCTAAAGTTTACAGAGGATGGTTCCCGAAAAATAGACAATATCTATTGACAGGCAGTTCTGTGGGCGCAACTGCCTTGTTGATGTCAGAAGAGAATGGCCACACTGGTCTGAGCTGATAGAAAAAACATTGTATTTTGATGCAGGTGAGCGACAGCAGCAGACGACCACATCAGGTGCCACTCCTGTCAGCTCAGGACAGGAAACTGGGGCTATAATTCACACAAAATTGGAGAATAGAAGATTGCGAAAAAGTTGTCAGTTCTGATGAGTCCCGGTTTCTGCTGCGACATTCAGATAGCAGGGTCAGAATTTGGTGTCAACAAGTCCATTCTGTCTTGTAATACTTCAGGCTGCTGGTAAGGGTGTAGGGCATATTTTCTTTGTATGCTTTGGGCCCTTTAGTACCAAATTGAGCATTGTGTCAACGCCACAGCCAATAGACTACCTTTGGGATGTGGTGGAAAGAGAGTTTCACATCATGGATGTGCAGCCAACAAATCTGCAGCATCTGCATGATGCTATCATGTCAAGATGGACCAAAATCAATATTTGCAGTACCTTGTTGGATGTATGCCACATAGCAGATCTAGCAGCTCTGAAGGCAAAAGGGGATCCAACCTGTTATTGGAAGGTGTACCTTATAAAGTGGCCAGTGTGTATATCTATGGCATGTTTTAAATGACTTCAATCTTAAACTCCAAATCCTCTATCTGGGTTTCCAGTGACCAGGCTGAAGCTCTGAGCTAAATATTAGGGTGATGGTAGGAAGGCTTTAAATCACAGAAACTTGGATGCTTATGCTTTCCTTAAATTGACTCTGTAATGAGCCTAGAGATGATGTGTTGTGAATTTAATATTAAATTAAATAATCACGATTTACTGTGAAAACACGGGTGAAATAATATGAAATGTTGCTCAGCTGTTGTATGGGGTCTGTCAATGCAAAGAAAAGAATATAATATTTTCAGTTTGCCTTGAATGAGACACATTTTACCCTTTTTTTTTTATAATTTTTGTGAGATTTTTCTCTTTTCCTACAAAAAAAAGTAAATTTTAGGTTAAAAAGTCAAATGATATTAGATGTAAAATTGACAGTGTTATGATTTGGATGTAAATATTTAAATATCGAATGAATCCTATTTAGTACATGTGAAAAAACTACAAACTAATACAAACAAAATAATAGAGTAAGAGCCTGATATTGGCGTTGCTCAAACCACATCCTACTACTTTCCTTCTTTCTCAAATATGGACCCAGAGTTAAGGGAACATACATCAGAGCATTATGGGCTGCTTGTTATAAGCATGTGATCTTAAACATATAAATTAGATCTGAGCAAAAATCAACGTTTGGAGTTTTAAGCTGCAAACAGATTTGGTAAATTTTAGCATGAAAACCACGTTCCCCTGCACAAGTTCTCAGGTATATTTGCTCCTCACTATAGAGGATTTTTTTACAGAATTCTTATTCTTTCTAATAATTACTAGAAAAACAACAGAAGTTTCTTTATAGACATTATAATTTTGTCTGATGCACACAGCAATTCAGCTGAAGCACATCTGTCACCTTGTGCCATTCCAGTTCCCCTCTCGCTGCGTTGTGGTAGTCGTGTCACACTCCTCTACCACGTCACTGCCACCACAGGGCGATGCCCCGGTCGAGCTGGGGAAGCTTTTTATTTCATTGAGCTAATTATAGCATACCAGAGGCTCTCTCAGAGGAAATGGATGTTCACACATGGCATTGCCACCGAGAACCTCCAACATACAACATGCTATTAAAGGAAAGTTTTTGTGAATTAAAGCACAATTGTTTAGGACGGTTTCAAATTTTTATTTGGTGTCTTTTAAGGTTGTACAAATGGAATAAGTCATTGCTTTACCTAATAATCTTCTAAAATCAGTGTTTTAGTGGCGAAGAAGTGATAAAGAACTGATCTCAATTTTAAGGAGCAAAGATAGAACCGTCTTAAACGGACTGTAAGAGAAATAAAAAATAATAGTAATCAAAAGTAAAAAACACAACTAAAACATTTTAAAATGATTCTTAGGGATTTATTCACAATGAATATGTCTCCCCCTAGTGGTAAAGAGTGGGTAGTTTACCCCTTAAATAATTTGAAAGATGACATCTAATAATGTACCGTATAAAAAAAAAACCTTTTGTAAAAAGATTGCAAAACTTCTGCAGGTGAAAGATAAATCACAATCGTAGTGTTCCTATGAAACAATCATAACTGCATCAGATTCTCCTTGGTTTTTTGTACAACTCCTGTGATGATCTCTGCATCACTCTGCAGAACTAGAAAAACAAGGTCTAAAGCTTTCCTCCAAGCTTCCTGCTTCGAGCTCAAGTTATCATAGACTTTCACAGCCGGTGCTTTATCTGGTTTCACTGCTGAGAAAACTGCATCTTCTCTTTCACTCTCCAAAACAAGCTGCAAAAACTTTCCTGCGATTATTTCGTCTCTATGAAAATCCTGCAGCTGCTTTCTGACAATAGTCCTAGCTTGGGTTCCTTTGGTTATGGCAGTTATGTAATTTATTAAACCATCTGCCATGAGCTGGAACACGAGACCTCTGTAGAAACTTGCTTCTGACCCAGTTTTGCTGCGGTGCTCTGCTTGTTCTAGTAACTTATGAACACAAAGCAGCTCGGTCCCTCCAGCACCAGGCAGCAGGGCTCCGTCTTTCAGTGCATGGTGTAAACGGTAAGCGCAGGCCCAGAACTGGTCTTCCAGTGCCTGAAGCTTTCCATTAATGCAGCTTGTTACAACTGCCGTGACCAGTCCGCCTTCCCCGCCCGTGGAAATGTTCACAGCCAGTAAAGATTTCCTCTCATAGCTGCCGAGGTCCCTCCAAATCTCGATCTTCACGCCATGGCCGACACAATGCTCCGTTAACTGCGTGGCATAGCTTACTGGGACGGCTCCAGTTGAACTGGCCACAGCCGTAAAAACTGAAGAGTTGATTTTTTCCACCACAAGTATATGGTGCCTGCAGCAGAGCTGGATGACCTTTGGACTGGCGAGGCCAGCGGTTAGTACCAGGTCCACTTCCAGGCTCAAGAGCAATTTTAAAACCTTTTCCAACCATTCATCCTCTTTGCTTGATGCTGATAAATCCAAGTGCCCATGCACACGTGTACCTGGCAGGCCTTTAAAGCCTGGATGGCGGTAAGTCTGTGATAGATCTCCAGTAACAAGAGCCACCTTCAAGGGTCGTTGTTTCAGAGCATGAGAAACCGCAGCCTGTTCGTCAGATAAAAGAACGACACAGCCTTCAACAACACACGAGCAGTCCTCTGGCAAAGCAGGCAGAACACAAGTCATCACTTTGGAAATGTCAAACAAGCGATCGCTGACGCGCTGTCGGTTCATTTTTAACAGCATCTCAGCAGCTTGAACCGCTAACCTCATAGCATTCTCACAACCATGGCTTAAAGACTCCGCCATGACGGCTACGTCTGGGAGGTCGGGCGCATCAGGCTGCAAAACCGTGGAGCTCATTTCAGACTTTGTCTCACAAAAATGTCTGCTGAGCTTAAGTTTTCTTTGGGCACTCATGGTTAAACACTTCTCACGGACATTCGGTGTCTCTTGGTTCGGCTTGATGGGTTTTTCTGACAGCTGCAGTCCTAAATCTTGAGTACATTTCTGGATTACAGAAAGGTCCTTGATGGAAACTGAAGATTTCTTGCATACATCCAAGCAAATATCAATCCCCTCAGACATACATGTGATTATGTATTTAACGGAAATCCCTCTATGGAGGCAGTCCAACGCCACACGGCTCCACGCTCCTGCAAGGAACAGCAGGCATCCCGTCCCTGTCCGGTACTCCTTATGATGGGCACGGATGGTCTCATGAACAAGTTGACCAACAGCACAAGTAAGCTCCAGGTTGTCAATGATTCGAAAGCAGGAGCCCACAAGAACCGCCTCCCCGCTCGTTTCGTCTTGGATGAACTTGTAGTTTTTATTGGGGCCGATGGAGGACCGCACCGTTCCTGCAAGAGCTGAGACTTTCTGGAGTCCAACATGGCGTCGACGGTTAATTATCACACTTTCCAGCATTACCAAGACTGAAAAAAGGAAGCAGAAACACTCAATGTCAGAAATACTTTCTTTTTCATTTGTAAGAATACTTAATGTTATTAATGCTGTTGAGGGTCAAGCTAGAGAGAAAACTATAAGGTTCCAGAACTTTCTACTAACTTTAAAGTTGCATTTAAGCTTAATTCATTACATTTTACCTGGATTTATTTTCAAAAGAAGTGACACATTAGGTGTAATTTAGAACCTAACACCAAACAGAAGAAAACCTTGGTATACGTATACAGTATACCAAATTAATGTTCCTATGGAAAACCAGCATGTAAAGCTGTACAAACAATCCTAATACAGCCCCAGGTCAATATGTTTTTAAATGTATTTTATCTCCGGATGACGTAGAGGAAAAGATTTCTGCTCTGCATTTCTGAAACTAATTTCTGCACGAGTTTAAATACACAAATCAGTCAGGAGTTGTTGCACCTTGTTGAGTGACAGGAAATGAGGCCCCAACCAGAGAGCTTCCATTTGAAACAATGAAAATGACTGCAACAATCCTTTAAGAAGGTGTGTTAGATGTAACAAAACGCTAGTGCAAACTAAACAGGAAAGCCTTAAAACGGCAACGTGCGGAAACATCAAGGAATCTTTCAATGCATCAGGATAGAAAATGATTGAACATAAAATACACAACAAAATAAATGGAAGAGCGTGTGAAACCAGGACAGCGTATGAACTTGGCTGAAAGAAAATAAGTGAAACTAGAAATATTATTGACTGAACAGAAGAGAGGAAGGACTAGTTAGCGTCCAAATCTAGTTAGGGTCAACATCTATGGGTGGCATGAGAGTAGGGCTGAAACAATCTGATTAATTGTGATTAATCGATAAATCATGATTAATTGATTGTTGAAATAATCGTCAACTATTTTAGTAATCGACTAATTGTTAACTGGAGCATAAAGACTGTGAAACATGGCTTTAGCTGAGAGAGCAACCCACATAGAGAAGTTATTATAGGAAAAAATATATATCAATATTTTGCATTTAAGATAAAATAGAACTCCACAAGTGGAAAATTTTTTGTTTGACCTTGTTTAATTCTTTCAAAAATCTTTGAGGAAATTTTTGATATCCGATTAATTGAAAAAATAATTGACAGATTAATCGATTAGCAAAATAATGATTAGATGCAGCGCTAAATACGAGTTTGATTCAAGGATGGAAAGCAAATCTGCTAGAAGAACAGTTTGGTATCAACAAGACCACAGATCCAGGTCTTGTCAGCAGCTGAGCTCTATTCTAGGGGCACCTTGCTAAATGAATGAGCTATCTTGAATTTTTTTTCTCCTGTGGGATCAAAAGAAGTACCTACCTACCAACCATTAGCAGGCTGTGCTGATTGGAAATGATGGAAACTTAAAAACTGGTGCATGACATGCACAGCTTCTCTGTCTACTGCTATACAAAGATGCTGCAACCTGACTGCTGCTTTAAAAATGAGTGAGGCCCCAAAAAGGAAACAGCTGAACAGAAAACAAAGATACAACACAGTAAAAATCATGTCATAGTTTTTTTTTAGTATTTTTTTTTAAAGTCCTAAATCTTTCTGCTGGGCCAAAATAAATGTGTGCAATAAAACAAAAATGTAATTTAAACATTTTAGGCTGTTCTCAAAACCAAAACAAAACAAAACCAACCTGAATGTTCAGCTCGGGTACACACATTTATGATGATCCAATTAAATGAGTTCAAAATAATTTTAGACCCTTTTTAAAGTATAAATAAAACATAATTTATGTTTGTGACTGGAAGACTTTATAACCATCAGTTCCCAACAACCTTAATAAGTTGTTACATTCATGCTGATTTTGGACAGTTACTCAGTTAAATAAGAAGCTGCTTTCATTTTTCACATCTCTGATGTTGCTGCTATATCAAATATCCATTACTGTAAAAATGTCCATAGCTGAATATGGGTAATTTATTCTCCAGGTGCACAGTTTTATCTGTTGAAACACTTTACAGTGCAGTATTTTATTGCTTATCTTTAAACTCTTCACTATTGTGTTATTCTAATATATTTTTCTAAGGTCAACATTTGACTGACCATTTTTTCTATAACCTTTTTGCTGCTATAAACACCAGAATTTCCCCGTTGTGGGACAATAAAGGGATTTTCTATTTGATTCTATTCTTTTATATTTAACGATTCAAAGAGCACATTTAAACGCTCCTAACGGAGATAAGGCGCCTTATACCAGAAATACGGTGAAGCAATCGTTTCTGAATGTGCAAAACCGTTCAAACGTAAAAAAAAACAAAACAAAAAAACATCCGTACCTCTGATTTCACCAGCTTAAACCTTTTGTTTAATAAGCTCTTCTTCTCTCGGATGTTTGGGATTTTCCTACACAACTGCGCATGCGTAGTGTGTATTCGTTACCGGGCAACGAAAGATGAGTTAAAGCCATTGGTGGAAACTTTTTCAGCCCGCCTATTCTACGCCACGATTGGCTGAAAGGATAAGTTTCCGGTATTTGCTGCCTCCTATTGGCAGTCGGTCGTGTCAGTTGGAAGTACAACCGTTTGTTGACATCCTTAGCAAACACAACGCCGAAGTTTTTTCTGCCGTGTTTGTTTTGCTTTTCAAATGGTAAAAGTGCGCAAAAGTATTAACTCTATTATGTTTGTGATATTTATTGTATTTTACGTTCATTTTAGCCTGAATGTATTTGTTCCTGTCTCGTTTTGATTAGCTAAATGGAAGCTTATGCTAGCTCACACGATGGTGGCTTAATAAACTAGGCTAATTTTGCGGTGGTTCTGTAATTATCTGTCTGTTTCTCTTTGTTAAGGCTTCAAACTACCGAAAACCAGCTTCCTCTGCGAGCCAAAAGAAAAAGACAAACTCAAAAACGGAGCTGACCGAAGAGCAGAAACAGGAGATCAAGGAAGCTTTTGATTTGTTTGACACAGATGGAACTGGGACGATAGACGTGAAAGAACTCAAGGTGGGTTTCTGTACATGATGAATGCCTGAAGTATGCACAGAACCTGGGTTTAATTGGCTGTTTCTATTTGCTACAGGTTGCCATGAGAGCTCTGGGGTTTGAACCAAAAAAAGAAGAAATCAAGAAGATGGTTGCAGAGTTTGTGAAAGATAACTCTGGAATTATTGATTTTGATGACTTTCTCAGTATGATGACTCAGAAAATGGTGAGTGTGAAGCAATGAGAAAAGTACTGATTTATTCAGTTTCGGTAGATAAATAGATAAATCAACCTTTTTCTTTTCATGCTCATTCAGTGAAGAAAAACATTTTTTTAATAAGAAACCAGCAATGTAAAGGTTATTCTGAAGTAAAAATTATAAAGGTGTTTAAACCATATTATATAGTATAGATCGAACTTGAACTAGTATAAATGTGAGGCAACTGACGTTTATTTCCACCGATGTTTGGCTCACCACCACATGCTGAGTGCAGGATGGTAATCAGGGGTTGGAAAACAACAAAACCAATGCTAGTGGCCTCAGCTGACAGACATTGACTTCCAATCCTGAGGTTGTTGGTTCTAGACCCAACTTAGACTAGTGGTTAGGGCATTGCGCTTGGATCCAAGAGGTTCTGAGTTCAAGCCCCACTCCCATGGACTGCCACTCTGGGTCCCTGAGCAAGACCCTTAAACCCCACACTGCTCCCCGGGCGCCACACAATGGTCCACTGCTCCCCAAGGGAATCGGTTCAATGCAGAGAGTTAATTTCATTGCATTGTAGTTGTGACAGTAATGAGAATAAAACGTTGAATTCTAAACTATTCTTAAATTATTACTTGCCAGCTTATGAGAGTGTCGTTGTCATGAACTCTGAAATACCAGGTGATATTCAATAACAACCTGGTACCTTTGAAAAGAAAACAACTAAGTTAAATTTAGTTCTTTAAGTTGGATAATGTTAAAAATTGGTCTGGACGATAACAGGAAAGCATTCAGTGGGAATGTTTTTGCTAAATATTACAGTGAATATATTAGTTTAAAGACATTTTAATTGTCCTAATCTTCTTGTTCCATCTGTTAGCATCTTAGACATTGGTATTTGAGCTACATGTGTTTGTGTACTGCTGTAAAACTAAATTCAATCTGTTACTGGTATGTAAGGTAGGAAGTGACAAAAAGGAGATATAATTTCCTTCACTTATTGCATTAAAAACACTATTTTTCTTTATGTCAAAGTTTTCCAGAGCGTTAAATCCAAAATGTTCCTCTGACACACAGTCATGTCCATCCCAGTTCCCAGCCTTCGGTTTTATGGAAAACCTGTAAACTGAACACTGTTTTTTTTATTTTTATTTTTTTTGTGGTAAAGAGAAATTCTGAAATCTGCAACGCATTAAATATTTCTGATATACAAAGACATGTAACCTGCACCGTACCTTCATTTGGGATTAAAAAAGCAACAAAAAAAATATGTGCATGTGAAAACTGTAAATGGCAAAAACATGTAAAAATGTATGTACATACACATTCTTTTTTTATTTTTTTATTTATTTATTTCTAATATTTTTTAAATCATCCTAAATGCAAGCTGTTGCATGTGAAGAGTTGGTTCCTAATTACTGCTTTAAGTTGGTTATTTTTCCAAAAGGATGATTTGCTTCATTTTCTTCCTGCCCTAAAAGATTTATGCAAATAACCAAGACATCACTGTTGGTTAGAAAGAGACATTGACACTCCTCTGGGATATTTGTTCCAGCTGACCAACAACTTCTTGGCATCAGTGTCTCATTAAATAAAGTCATTTACACATTTTTCTTCTACATTGTTTGTACAAAGTCTAGACAGTTCTGTCCATCTGCAGCAATACTGTAATGTAAACCAAATCCATAATAAGTCAGGTAAATAAACCTATATCTAGTAAAAACACACACTGTGATATGCAATTAATGTTCGAAATCTTTTCTTGTGCTTCATAAAAAGATGCACAGTTATTGAATGAAATTACACTCTATTCATAAAAGCAAATTCATTCACGGTTTACCTATATATATATATATATATATATATATATATATATATATATATATATATATATATATAACATTAGAAGTACTTTTTCTGATTAGCTTTGATATTTGGCTTCTCTCTTCACTTTTCATTCGTATGTGTATCTAAACTTAGTTTATAATGCATTATAATCTGTATTATTTATTGGAGCAGTTCCATGTAGCTGGAATGAAACAGCTTAGGAATACCTGTTGAATACCTGTTAACCAGTTCCAAAGAACGCAGCGTAGTGAGAAGTTGAGACGTCAGTAGCGAGACACGGTTCCTTCTGGTTTCCCTCAATGAATCTAAGTCAGCTAATAAACCACGCATCATCCTGTGTCCGCAGATCAGTTGGATCTCCGAACAATCGCGCCTCATTCTTCCACCACCTTCAGTAGTTTAACAGCTGAGATCCTTTCAAAGCTGCCAGATTAATATTTAACACATAAAGTGTAAATTAATGAAAGACCTTTAGGTTTGATGCTCCTTGAATAAATAAAACTTAATGGAGTCATGTTTAAGTGTGTTTAGGAGATTATTATGCTATTTCGTAGAGAAAAAAAAAAAGAATCTACTGGCAAAGTTGAAAAGTTTGCATGAATCTCTGCACTTTTTAACAGAACTTTGATTTTATCCAAACTGAGTTGTGCTTAAAATGTGGCTGGGTTTTTTTTCAGTGTGTACGCCTGCTTTGCACTTTAGACCCAAAGAGTCTGGCTGATCTGAATGGATTGTCCTTTGATATTGTGAAACATAGAAGAAGACTAAAGGCTGTTCATTTATCAGAGGTAGCAGGGGAGCTAATATTAGTCCCATCTTTGATTTTATTGAAACTTTCTTGTTTTTTACCCTAATGAGAACATGTAAAAGATGACAGATCCTCCGGATGGGTTTAAGTGATTTTTATTTTTTACAAATCTACCAGCAAAGAAAAACATAACATATTACCCAACAGTTCTGTTCAACATGCACTATTAACGATTGTTGTATGTTGTGGGGTTATGTATAAGATAATAGTCTCAGTGGATGATTTAGGGCCCTGAAGAGCAGTTTTAACTTGTTAAGAAGTAACATCATTAAATTTCCTTATCCCATGTTTCCTGTCTCCTGATAGAATGAGAAGGATAGCACAGAGGAAATAATGAAGGCCTTCCGGCTGTTCGATGATGACTGCACGGGAAAAATCTCTTTCAAAAATCTCAAGAGAGTTGCCAAGGAGCTGGGAGAAACCCTCACCGATGAAGAGCTGAAGGTATTATCCATGTTTGTTTATTTTTCTGCTCAATGTTCATTTATTATTTCAATAATTTATTATTATTTAGCTTCAAATTGCTGCATTGCAAAAAACCAAACAAACAAAGCAAAAACCAACCTATAAGCAATTTGGATATAAATTAAACAATGTGAAGTTCAAACAAAACGAATATTAGATCACTGAAATAAGAGTATATTCTCAAGATGTTAATGGGTAAATAATCTAAGTGAAAGACAAGACACCTCAACAACTAATCAGATTCAGAGAACAATGTGTGTTGGGGCTAATTAAAGAGGTGTGATCCACCTTCAGCACCCTGGAATAACCTCACATTGAAATATTAGACATAATAAAAGTAAAATATATAGTTTTTATGTTATTGTGCCTCCATATCCTTAGAAACATTCATTAGATAGAAAAATAAGTTGCACCCATATTACTGACTACTTGATTGGGCCTCCTTGCAGCACGGCATAGGGGTGGTCATCCTGTGGTTCATGAAGCCCAGCTGGCTTTCATACTGTTTTATTGTGTTTGCTCTGCTGCCTCCTCTTCCTATTGTCAACGCTGCATAGATTAGTGGCTGATCAAACACACTGACACCATGTTCAGGAAAGCTGGTGTTGGTTATTGGGCAGGTGAATCAAGTCCTACTGGCAAATTACATCAGGATCTTTTCTTTAAAAAGAAGAAAGGAGCTCTAAACTCTTTTGACCACTGATCAATAATCCATGTTTTCCTCCTGGTAGGGTGCCTCTGACTTTTTCTTTTTAAAAAAACAGCTTAAAGAACCAAAGTGACAGTTTTAGCTCATTTCCTGCACACGTGTTGTGAGCTGACTGTTGAAGTAGTGCCTCCAGCTGCAGTCCACTCATTTGTTTCACCACCCAAAATCTTAAATTGACTTTTCTGTGTCTCTCTTACAAGGATGCTAATTTTTATTTTATTTTTTTCAGTGTTCCACACTTTTTCTTCTACTCAATATGTTAAGATGTATTTTTTAGCAATGCTCTTTTCTTTGTGGAGGAAGAAGATAACTATCTAATTAAGCCTTTATGAAAGTGTAGGTCGCAGCAGTATCTATTTAAATTGATTTTACATTGTATTAA